TAATATAAGGCAATCAAAACAGACGGAACGGAACGCGCGGAAATGCGGGACTCTAGTAAAGTTTAGTTACTTTCTCTTCCGCGTTTCCGCGTTTCCGCGCGTCCATGTAATCGCATCCTCAAGGTCTGTCTTGAGATGCTATAAGCCGTCATTTGATTGGTTGGATGGGTTCTTAAGCCTCTGCAATAGAAAAAATATTAGGCATAAATATTAAATATTTTTGAATAAGAATTATTTTTAAAATATAAATACAAATTTGAATGTAAATCCAATATAACAAACTGACCTCATTTAACGTCAAAATGACGTCTAATGACGTTAATTAACGTTTAATGACGTACATTTGACGTCTAATGACGTCATCGACGTCAAAATATTTGCTATCTTATTATTAGCTCTTATTAATCTTTTATACCCAAATTTGTATTTTTATACAGGGTATCCCAAAATTAATGGAAAACATTTTAATAGCAGATTCCTGGGATCATTATTGGAGATGATTTTTCCTCAACGAAAATGTTGAGACATCAATAATTTTCGAGTGATAAGCGATTGAAAGTAAGGGATTTTTCGCAAACTAAGTGTTTTGTGGAAATAAAATATTAACAAAATCACATTCTTTTATTAATTTTATGTAGAATTTACTTTAATAGAATTTTAATTTAAGGCTTAATTACGAAGATACAAGATGACAAAAATTGATAACATGCAAAAAATGATGGCCTCTTTCGACATTTTTACTGGGGAAAAATCGTCTCTAAATGATCCCAGGAATCTGTGTCATTAAAAAGTTTGCTATTAATTTTGAGACACTCTGTATACAGAGTTTTTTTGATTTTATTTTTAAAATAATTCTTATTCCTAATACTTATATAAGTATTATAATAAAGCCTAAAATGATCTAAGCAGACATACTATACACTTTAAAAAGAATTAAATTAAACCTTCATTAATTTATATCCTTAATTAGGACGAATGATTATGCGCATCCAAACGAATAAAATAAAAAATGAAATAAATGCTTTATTTAATTTTGCTATTCTTCAACTAAAAGCTGTTAAACACACAATTTGAATTGGAAAAATATATTTAATTCAAATAAATATATTTATTCCAACACTTCTTTATACACATCATTTATTTGAAACGAACAAATATATATTATTTATTATTTATTTTGAAAAAGAATATCTTCTCTCTCTCAAATAAGTCTTAAGAATATTAAATAAATATTTTTTTACGTCAAATCAATATTAGTGTCAAATAAATTATGTGTGAAGGATGGATGATAAATATTTGAATTCAATAATTTTTTTCCATTGTTAATATTTTCCTAAATGAATTAAAGTAATAAATAAATAATTTTAAAAATAATCTGCGAATTGTTTTTACGCATGCGCAATAATTTTCCGATATCCCATAAAATGCGTAAAGCACAACTATTAATTTTTGTTTTTAGTAACTACTGTAGATAATTTAGTTTTTAAAGACGGAGCAAATTCAGACAAAAATGGAGCAATTTTTTGTATCTTAAAAATCTAATAAATACTATTAATTTCTAATAATTTTCGTTTGTAATGACATTTACATTGTATATAGACATTCGTGGACTACCCATACGGCATTTTAGATTTCAGATACATATTAGCAGATAGATAAAATTTGAAATGTTGCTATATAACAGATATATAGCAATACATATAAATTATGTATTAAATACATATTTAATATCGATAAATGTCCGCGCTATGGATACATAATTTACGTTATATATCAGATACATATGATTATATATATTCGATATATGTTAAATATGTAAATTATGTAAATTATGTATTTTATACGTATCTGTAATATTGCAAATACGCGTCTAAAATGTACCATATAGGTTATTTATTCATATGCACATTATCGATTATTGTGTAATTTTTTCTAAAGTGTGTGAAAACGAAAATTTTTAACTTTTCACGTTACTTTAGAAAAAGTTACACAATCAAGACCCAGAGCGTTTTCCAGCAAGCAATACAAACATATATAATATTACACAGAGTATTCTATCTTTTTTCAATACCAATGAACGACAAAAGATATAGAATATCATTCTCTATGTAACACTGTGTCGCTTGCTGAAAAAATATTATTTCTAAAACTAAATAAAGATGTAAACTAAATAAGATATAAACTTTTTTTATTTATTTTCTTATTAACTTATTTTTAATATTATATGTTAATATATAATATATTTTTATAAAATATATATATTTTTCTATAACATTTTTAACAGTATATTTTAGTTATAATAGTATTTTAATATCACATATCATATCACAGTCTATTATATACTATTATATACCTACTATTATATACTAATATATATATATATATATATATATATATATATTATTATTATTATATATATATTTATTATTATTATATATATATTATTATATATATATTATATATATATATATTATTATATATATATTATATATATATATTATATACTAATATATATATATATTAGTATATAATATCAGTATATAATAGTTATTTTAATATCACATCATATCAGTCTAAATACCCATATATAATATCAGTATATACCCACATAACATCGAAGTCTTGTAGAAGTCTAAAAGATGTCTCATTAAAGAAATCTTTAAGACATTTCTAAAAGATGTCTTCTAGATATCTTTTAGATGTCTAAAAAGATTTTGATGAAGATGTCTTTGTAGAATTTCTAAAAGATATCTGTTATACATCTTAAAGATATCTCAAACATTAAAATTTTTTAAATGAATATATATATATATATATATATATTTATAATTTAATTTTAATTGCATAATGTCAGGCAACAGACAATAGAAACAGGAAATAAAAGATATTCACCATAAAGGACAGAGAATAGATATTATTTTCTGCTCATAAATAATTTATTATGTAACCTAATTTAACCTAACCTAACCTAATCTAACCTAACCTAGAAAATAACAATCATAATCAGATACGCATCAATCTATTGTACAGTTTTACAACTGTATGGAAATTCTAATTATTACAAAATATAAAAAACTTATCTTTGACTCACTATAGTATATTGTGTTAAAAGTGTGGAAAGTTGGCTATTGGTCACAAGTGTGCATTTACCCGCACGAGTGGACAATAGCCAACTTCCGTACGTGCAACACATATTTTGTATTACAAGTGCATTCAAAGTGGCACTTTGAGTATCTGATTTCTGTATCTGATTTACGCAGCAGGGTTAGGTGCGTGTTGGGAAGGCACGAAGTAGCGGTAGTTTGCTAGTTGTTTTTCGTGTGTGCTGCAAGATGGCGCTGAAACCCGTGGGCAATAAATTATTCACGGTTTGGGAAGCTATTGTATACGGCTTTGAATGCATTGAACATATGTATGTAATATATTGTAGGTCGATGTTGGAAATTTGTTACTTTTGGCACAAAAATCGTGCATGTGGAAAGTGTCACTTTGTATGCACGTGTAATACAAATTATATTTTTTACACATATAATCAACACTTATAATATTTTAATATCTGATCACCGCGATTACGATCACAGAAACGTGCCCGACTTTCCGTTTATCATGCAGGTTTTTTTTAGGTTATGTTAATGATGCTACTATGATGACGTAATACGTTATATCTTATGATTTTGTCTAATATGTATCAATTACGTATTTGATACATAAATATTTATATAATATGCGCAATATACCTGCTATGTATTACATATGTATTAAATACGTTGCAATATTGCATTTACATTACATTTATTAATTATATATGAAATATAACGTGTTAATAAATCAAATAATTTTTAACGACCCAACTGGCATATGATATATATTTTTGTTTGTAATTTTTAGACTTGAGAAGGACCCAAAACAAGAGTCGAAACGTCGTTCTTAATTTTATTTGATGTCTAACCAACAATAAAGATATTTTTTTATGCCAGTTGGGTCGTTAAAAATTATTTGATTTATTAACACGTTATATTTCATATATAATAAATAAATGTAATGTAAATGTAATATTGCAACGTATTTAATACATAATTGCAATGAAAGGTGCCGTATGAAGAGTTTGTGAATTTTTAAATTACGATATTAGCAGCTCAAGTATTAGCAAACTGACGTCAAATGACGTCATAGACGTCAAATGACGTCACTAGGGGTGCGTTCCGTTATGCACTGCAAGTACTGACAGTACTACCAATAGCGTTCCGATATAGATAGCAGTGCACTGCGAAAGTACTATCATGAGTATATGACGTCATTAATTTTGACGTTATTTCCTGTTGCGATTACTGCAACCGGCGAGGTAAAGCACTCGCAGTAATCAAGATGGCTACCTCCATGTGTATACGATGGAACTAACTTTTAAATTCCATATCTGAATATAATGATACAATATTTTTAACGTAATTTTTACATTTTATTCTAGGTATTTTAATTTGTCGTCTCATTTCATTTATTAATTCCATTTCCAAATCGCTTTCACTTGATGACTCACTCGAATCATATATATTCTCGATTAAATTATATGTAATTAATGCAATAATGGTATTATCCATTTCACCAATTTTTCACTCGATGATTATTAGCGAAAAAGGTTAGTTAAAAGTCTGCTGAAAGCGTACTGTAGTGCGTTCCGTTTTACTATTTTGCAGTAGCTTCAAAGTGCACAAAATTAAAAAGGAACGCTGTCAACAGTACACTTGCATGACGTCATAGTGCCAGTACTTGCAGTGCATAACGGAACGCACCCTAGATGTCAAATGACGTCGCTAGGGTATCGATTCTGTAACTTTTTCTAAAGTGAAAACGTGAAAAGTGAAAAATTTCCGCCAATCGCACATCGATTTCATTTTAAAATCAATGTCAAATATATATATATATATATATATATATATATATATATATATATATATCATGTATACTATAGCATTTCAGTACTGACAGTCAATTTTGGAACACGACCGACGTCATTAAACGTCAAAATGACGTCATTAGACGTCAACTGGAAGTTGACGGATTGACCAATCAGAGCAAACTGTAACCTGTAGTGTAATTTAGCCTAAATGTAACTTCAACTAGTGTAATACGGCTTTGTCACGTGATCACTCATTTGATATATCTGAGAAACCTCGTGGTCATAGTGCTCGTGGTATTGCACTTGCATTCTAGAGACTGGAGATTTACAAAGAAAAAAAAACGCATATGAGAATGCGTAATTGCACCATCAAATCACGCGCGACGCGCGACGTGACGCGATGCGCTGATGTTTCTGTCATCGCGCTTGTCAAATAAAGAGAAAATTAATTTCTTTCTTTCATGATCAATCTGTCTCCGGCAGATCGTTGCAATTGGGTCGAATCCTAAATGCAATATACGTTCGTGAGTATAGATATAAATAATCGAGAGAGAGAGAGAGAGGTGGAGGGAGGGAGGGAGGGAGAAAGTGATCAATAGTTTTTGTGCTCATCGCTTCTTTAACGAGGTTAACGTTGATTAGAAATATTTTATTTTTGCCAATATAATATATATTGTGTTGCTTTAATTTGATAGAGGAAAGAAAAAATTTTGTCCATCCTTTTTTCTCCAAAAATATAATTGTTGAACGGCTTAACAAAAAATTTTTGTCTATTTTTTTCTCTAGAAAAAATTGTTGAATGGCTTAAGGAGATCTTAAAGTCCTTGAGAAATCTGTTGTTTTTTTTTCCTTTTTTATCGACAAAATATGAGGTTACATAAACTATAAATCTATTTATTGGCTATACGGATTGTTTTTTACCTGAAATTAGAACGCTTCCTCCTTTGTTAATATTAATACTTTAATTTGTACAGGAAAAAGATTCTTAGAATTATAAATTCTTAGAATTCATAATTCTGTAACCAAGATTTATGAGACATACAGATTGATAAATCTTTTTCTTGTACAAATTAAAGTAATAATGATAATAAAAAAGGAAGCGTTCTAATTTCATGTAAAAAACAATCTGTATAGCCAATAAATAGATTTATAGTTTATGTAACCTCATATTTTGTTGATAAAAAAGAAAAAAAAACAGACTTCTCAAAGACCAGTTTAGGATCACCTTAATTAAAATATTTATATTTATAAGCCATATGTTATTATATTTATAACTTTTTTATTCATAACTTAATTCTGTACAATTATTTCTATAATTTTTGTATCTTGAAAATAATTGCAAAATTCCTTTTGGTGTTTCTTATTTGGATAGAATTATGTGCGATGTATATACAAATATGTACAAATTGTTGTATTTGTGATGATTATTGTTTTAATATTATTGTAATGACTTTGATTATTGTTATTTGTCAATCTAGACTTTCTCCTAATAATATTGTTTCATTTTTTTAGCTAGGAAATAAAAATGAAGAGGAGCACAACCATGAATTGGCATCCCACCAGAAGAAAACCACTAACCAGCCAGGAAGAAAGTACTTTACTATGCTTGTAGTGCTTGGCACATTGTTCTTAGGTTACATAGCTATAGCGAATGATTTAAAACCTATGAAAATAGGTAGCAAAGCCATTGATACATTAGCATTCTCATTTAATTTACAAAAGCCATTCTACGTTGTCGTCATCGACGCCGGATCCACCGGTAGTCGTGTACTGGCTTTCAGTTTTCACGAATCGATTCTCAACGGTAACTTAGTCCTGGATAATGAACTGTTCAGCGAAATAAAGCCTGGTCTGAGCTCGTTCGTGGACAGTCCCAAAGATGCTGCGAAATCTTTGACCACTCTTTTGAACAAAGCAAAGACTGTCATTCCACAATCTGAATGGCCTCGCACATTACTAACTATGAAGGCCACAGCCGGATTGAGATTATTGCCCGAGCGTAAAGCCAACGACATACTGGAGGAGTGCAGAAAGCTGTTTCACACGTCCGGATTTCAGACTGCGAAGAATTCTATCTCCATAATGGAAGGCACAGATGAGGGAATCTTCTCTTGGTTCACTGTCAATTTTTTACTTGATCGTTTCAACTCCATCAGCTCTCAGACTACCGTGGCTGCGTTAGATCTCGGCGGAGGCTCGACGCAGGTCACATTTCAACCTAATAACGCTCAAGCAAAGCAATTAGAGAAACATGTTTATTCCATCAACGTATTGAATCATAACATGAGCTTATACACGCACAGTTACTTAGGGATGGGTTTAATGGCTGCCAGAAAAGCGATATTAGTTTCTGATATGAATCTGGAGACTGTGGATCCCAAGTCTTCTGTAGAGATACGTTCCGAGTGCATCAATCCGATTATATCTACTGAATGGTCCTACGGTGGACGTGATTATGTCATAAAGGGTCCAATAAATGGCACGTACAAATTGGTGAAGACTCAAAATTTTGCCGGCGGAGACGAGAATAAACCAGTTGTACGCTTTCCGGAATGTTTGAAGATCATCGAGAAATACGTTAATACTCTGACAGACAAACCAATAGGTTTGAAAGATCATGAAATATATGCATTTTCGTATTACTTCGAACGCGCGACAGAGGTAAAGCTCTAAACCAGAATAATGAAAAGATTAATTGGTGTAAAAAAAGTTGTTTTTAAGAAAAAGTATGTAGCTGCTAGAGAGTTGCACATTACATACTTTTTTTTAAAAAATATGTTTTCTTTACACCAATTGATTCTTCTCATTATTTTATGCATAAAAGAATTAAGAAGATAAGATCATCAAACAATGAATATTTTACGAGAAATTTCATAATTTATGTATTATGTCTGAAATAGAAGTATAGAATATCTCATAAATTCTTGAATTTTTGACCATCATACCTTTGTAATTTTTTACACAGAATATTGCAAGGAATTAATTTATATAAAAAACTGTGGTTCTATTTAAAAAGTTCAGGATGATCTTGTCCTGATCTTAGCAATGCCACTCAAGGTCAAAAATTGATATTTTTAAATCCTACAATTTTTATTTGATATATTTTTTTCTAAAATGTATTGTTTATCAGATATTCAACCATTTCCAGACTTTCAAAACACCCTGTATATATGGATGTATATGCATACTCACACACACATATTGATTTTTCAGGTAGCACTAATAGATCCATTTTTGGGTGGAATTGTTGAATTAAATGTATTTTTGAAACAAGCCATGGAAATATGTGACTATCCTAACACGGATCAGCCATTCATGTGTTTAGATCTGACATTTATTTATGTTTTACTGAAAGATGGTTTTGGCTTGGAACCATCCACTAAATTACATGTAAGTATAATACAATTTATATATTTTGTTATACAGGGTATCTACTTTTAAATCCAGGAATTCTCATAAAATCTTATTAAGATTTAGGGAATTTTTTCAAAAATTTGATTTGTTATTGATTTCTTTTTATCAAAGTCTTAGTACATATTAGTATAAGTTTTACAGAAAATTGTTCAACTTTTAATAATATTTAAACAAGTTAGTACTTAAGACGTTTGTAATAAATTTTGTTTTATATGTTTATTATTTTATAATTTTGCATATATTCTTGGTAACTTTGTTGCAATTATATGAATAAAAAATATTAGAAAACGCATACTACAATAAAGAAGCTTAATTTTAAAAGGAGGATGTTAAACTTGATTGAAAATTCATCCATGTCATCGATTTTATAGTTGTCTTCAGATCGATCGATTGACGCTATTTTCAATAGTTTTGATAGATTTTCAATACTTTCCCCAGGTCTCTAGGAAAAAAGACCATCATGTTTACATCTTATATGGTTCATAGATACCCATGGAACTCGAATTTTAGGTATTCATCGATAGTCGGGAAATCGACTTTTTTTAACATCTTCCTTTCAAAATGGATCCAAAAAATTTTTTTTTGCAAAATTTGAATACTAAATTATTATTTGATAATATTTTAAAAGGTAACAATATTTTTAACTTTTGCAGCTTTACAAGAAGATCAATGGCCACGAATTAAGTTGGGCGTTAGGAGCCGCGTTTAATGTTCTCCAAAATGGGCTCTGATTAGTGTATTGTTGATGAATTTTATTCTAGATTTATACAAAAGCCAAAATACACTGGTCAAAAAAATTATCGCAACATGCAATTAATATCAAAATTTCGCGTAAATTCAAATAAGCATATCTCCACGAAAAATTATTGTATTTGAAATTTTTTTTTGTTTTAAAGTCTCTACTTTAAGAAACTTTCGTTCGATTTTGATTTCATTCTCTCCCCCTCTCTCCATCTCTTTAAAAAGTAAGGTGCTTTTTTTTTAAATTGCAAAATTTGACGAACTCTATGGGGTAAAATAAATTTTTTTTGCAAATCTTATCCAAATTTTCGTAAAATATAGACCTTTTCCTACAAATTAAAAAAAAGCAAAGTTTGTACGATTTTTTTGGCAGAGTTACAGCATATTAAAGTTATCTATGCATTTTTGTGCAATTATCACCAGTATTAGCGATATACGACGCGCACCAACGATGATTGCGTGACAAATTGCTAATAAAGATCTCCCTCACAGAATCAGTGATCAAACAATTAGAAGACATTTACGTGAACGTGATTTAAGATCGCGAGTTCGACATTTTTCTTTCCAAATGTATCATACATTTCTCAAATGGATCATACATTTTTTTTTATACATTAGAAGAGGAAAATGACGAACTCGCAATCTTAAACCATTTTCACGTAAACGTCTTCTAATTGTTGATCACTGATTCTGTGAGGGAGATTCATTAGCAATTTGTCGCGCAACCATCGTTGGTGTGCGTCAGGTATTGTTATGCTGGTGATAATTGCATCTGGTGAAAAATGCATGGATAACTTTGATATGCCGTAACTCTGCCAAAAAAATCGTACAAACTTTGCTTTTTTTTAATTTGTAGGAAAAGTCCATATTTTATTTGAATAAAATTTGCGAAAAAAATTTATTTCATCCCGTAGAGTTCGTCAAATTTTGCAATTTTTTGAAAAAACACCTTACTTTTTAAGGGAGAGGAGGGGGGGGGAGGATGATATCAAAATCGAACAAAAGTTTCTTAAAGTAGAGACTTCATCCTTTAAAACAAAAAAAATTTTGACAGAATTATTTACGACAAAACTAGCAATTTTATTCAATAATATCACAACGTTTTGACCATTGGTTTTGGTCCTTTTCACGTAAACAAAATTATCAAACAAAACATGCGATTATCACAATAAATTGACCATAGTTCCAAGAAACCGATATAATTTTGGATATGAAAGACAAACGTCTCCTCGATAGCACGATTCGTCACCAAGGTTAAACCAAATCACTAAACAATCTTTATTATTGTGTCGTAAATATTTGTCAAATTTTCCGTATCTTTCTGTAGGTTAATCGTGTTATCTTGCTTCTTTATAAAGAACATTTTGGCAATCTCTCTTTTTCTCACATGCTTCTCATTATGCAAAATTTTTGGCGATTTCCAATTAAATTCATGTCCTAGCTCGCATCTATGTTTACTAATCACCGAGTGATTGGTTTCATGTAATTTTATATTACTGGCATATTCCTTACCTCTAGTACATAAATGCCTCTTAGTCTGTCCGATGTACGATGCACTACTACGATTAGTAAGTGACGAATCGTGCTATCGAGGAGACGTTTGTCTTTCATATCCAAAATTATATCGGTTTCTTGGAACTATGGTCAATTTATTGTGATAATCGCATGTTTTATTTGATAATTTTGTTCACGTGAAAAGCACCAAAATCAATGGTCGAAACGTTGTGATATTATTGAAAAAAATTGCTAGTTTTATCGAAAATAATTCTGTCAATTTATTTTACGACTAGCGTTTGAAAGAGTTTAATTTATTAAAAAAAAAATTTTTTTAAATACTATAATTTTTTTGACCAGTGTAGAAAAATATGCACTTAAGGAAAAAGAACAATTGAACAATTGCAAAAATAATTGATAAGATGTCAAATTTTTTGTGTAAAAATTTTAGATTTTTGGAGAAATATTTGATAATTATCGACATTCACTGCACAATTGCCTAATATTCTAGTTGTACAATCTATCCTACGATATAAAAAAAATAGTATTTAATATATATTTTTAGGTACATGTATATAATATATTTTATCTAAAATGTCTAAAATATCTAAAATATCTAATTACCTAAAAAATAGAAGACATATCGTTTTTGTGTTATCAAAGTATTTTTAACAATTTTATTTTTGGATATATATATATTTATATATATATATATATATATATATATATATATATATATATATATTTATTTACACAATCTACATTCAATTATTTTATATTAAAATATATTATATTCAATTCGTAATATTTTTTCTAGAAGATCAACAGAATATAAATCACACGAGATAAAATTGATTTGCATCGTTCGTAAAATTAATTAAAAAGTGTGATGAATGTGATTGCAAAAAATTGCGAAATTACGAATTGTTTTTATTACAGAACTTTTGACTAATAAAATATTTAAAAAAAGTACTTTTTAACATGTATCAGTACATACAAATTGCAATTATCATCAACACAAACTTAGTACAAATATAGAATTAAGATATGCTAATATCTATACTTATTAAAATGTCATTAATATATATAATGTTTGATTTTTAGACGTATCATTGTTTTGCAACATGTTATAAGATTTTTTCTTGGTCTAAAATATCGCGTTTATAATTTTGGTATTGATTGTATACAGCGCGATGCAACGAATCATATATGTATAACAAATTGTTACATAATCTATGTCTATATGATTCCTAACATTTTGTATACTACTGTATATATTATAAAAGTGAAGATACAAATCTATATGTATATATATATATATATGTGCGTGCGTGCGTGCGTGCGTGCGTGCGTGCGTGCGTGCGTGCGTGCGTGTGTGTGTGTGTGTGTGCGCGCGTGCGTGTGTGCGCGCTCGTGTGTGTGTGTACATAGTGCCTTTAAAATGCTGTTTTTAAATAAAACGAACATATTGCTACATAAATAATATTTATCTCTTTTTCATATTCCAACTTTTAATTTAAACTTCTCTTATTGACGTCATATTATAAATTATGACGTCAGAAGCAGGAAACATTAGCTTTTAGTTGCAAAATACATCGAAATAAATTGGTTTATTTAAATGTGACTATTCGTATTTATTAATATTTCATTCTGTTGACAATCGTTACCGTGAAATGTTCTATGCTGTCTCTCGTCTTTTATTTCTGACTGGTGTCATGAAGATATATAATGTTTTAATTTAACAATAATTTGTGAACTCCTGGTATGACTTAATTGTAAGTAATATTACTATACTAGAATATCGGTTTGCAGTTGTACATTATTATATGCAGTTTTTAAGTAGTTATTATATTTTTTTATTTTATTTTAGCTTTGTATTTTTAATATTATTTAAAAATTTTTTTTTGTAGTATTGTTCACTTGATAAGGACCACAATCACATGGTCGAAACGTCGCGAAGATAAATTAATTGATTTTTGCTAGTTTGATCGATTATTTAATTTACCTTAATAATATGGATTAGTGTAAAAAAAATATGTCACACAAACTAGCTTTTTTGTCATCTATGCATCAATGCATAAATATATCATCTCGTTTGCATGTGTTTTACATTTCCAGTAAAAATAAATCTTATGACTACGATATGATTAATCAAGATTTATCCAAGAAAAAATCCATATACAATTAATATAAAAAAATATATGTCCATGTTTTCTTTCTCATCTGTGTTCGTGTATATAAAAAAATATAATAAAAATGATGAAAAATAGTTAGAAGAATTATTTTCGCATTTTCCCAATTATTAATGACAGTTACTAGTATTAAAATATGAATTTTGGAAATAATCGACCAAACTAGCAGATAAAATCGTTTATTTAATTTCACGACGTTTCGACCATATGGTTGTGGTTCTTTTCAAGTGTAACTACAATAATTATTAAACATATTATTATTATCACCAACGAAACACTAATATAAAGTTCACAAATGGAAACGCGCGTAATACTTATCCCAACATATCCCAACCAAGGATCGTCAGATTTTCATATATTTTAAGTGAGATAATTTACACGACCTTAATTATTTTATTATATATATCGTTAAGACTCTCTGTATCACTCTGTGAGTTTATGTTGTTGTTTAGTTTTTTAATATAAAACATTTCGGCTATCTCTCTCTTCCTCACATGTTTTACCTGCTAGTTTGGTCGATTATTTCCAAAATTCATATTTTCGCATTTTGTTTAGAAAATAATATTTGAAGAATGTTTTTGTTCTATGTTTTAAAGATTTTAGGTGACATCAATTTCTACGTTTATTTGTAATAAAGTACAAAACCGCGATAATTCCAAAGTATAATGCACTCTTATATTTATAACATTGAAAATAATTATTCGTCGAAATTGCATTAGTTTGATAAACGTCTATATTAAAATGTTTATTGTAGGTTTCCCATTACGCTATATTTAATTTTTATCAAGATTGGCTAAGTAATGATTTTTCAAAACTAATTGTAATAAATTAAAGTTATAGTTGCTTATAAAATTAATTTAGTTAAGTTAAAAGTTGCATAAACAAAAATTAACTCACAGTTAAGATAAAATTAACTAAAGTTAAATCAAAAGTTAACTTTAAAAACATTATATTAAATTAGAATTTTGTTTGTTAATTCTTTCAAAATTTATAATAACAAATAACAAAGAAATTTTGATTTTTATATAGAATAAGTATATTTTTTGGTAATTACAATTGAATAATAAACATAAAAATTAATAATACTTTAATTTTAAAATAATACGTTTAGAACTTATAAAAAAATATAATATATGGTATTCAGAGATAAAAAAATTTAACTTAGGAAAAAAGTTAATAAGTTTAAGGTAAAAAATAATTAATTGAAGTTAAAAATTAATACATTTTAAATTAACTAAGCTAAGTAAAAATTTATTAACTTTTTTAACTTTTAATTAATTAACTAGTTATACCTAATTCTGATTTTTGTTCATTTTTACTTGGAAGTATAAATGAAAATGCGTCTTTTATAGAAATAAAAAAAGGAAAGAGAGATTTTCTTATCATCAATCGAGCATGGGGGATGAGCTTCCATTATTCTTTATTGTAAATACCAACATTGTTGAAAACGTCGTATGTGCGTGAACTGTGCTCTCACTTATC